GAATGAATAAAATACATAATATAATAAAAAAAGGTAAAACTTCCTTAAAAACTTGCTGTATTTTTTAAGATTCTAACATTTTTTGGACTTTTATTTTTAAATATTACTACATATATCCATTGTATTCAACTTAAAAAATAACCTGCATACAACATATTTTTAATTTTGAAACTAAGGTATAAACAACAAATTTAAAACAAGCAAATTAAAAATTGTTGTTTGTAGGCTATTTTTGTTGTTTAATTTGTTGTTTATACCGTAATCTCAAAATCAAGAATATGTTGTATGCAGATTATTTTTTATGTTGAATACAATGGATATATGCAATAATATTTAAAAATAAAAGTCTAAAAAATGTTAGAATTTTAAAAAATGCAATAGATTTTTGAGGAAGTTTTATCCTTTTTTTATTATATTATATATTTTATTTATTCGTTTTATTTATTTGTACTTATGATATTAATTATATCTATTTATTTAATAATATGTAAAAATTATATATAATAAATATATGCAATAGTCTTAAAAAAAATCCAACTATATTTTATTTATTACTAATATTTTAAAATTTCTAAAATGAAAGTTTCAAGTTAAAATATTGAAAAACATATACGACTTTACATGTTCTGACTATTTACTTTAGATACATGTCTTTAAAAAAAAAAAATTAATAGATGCCACATGTTTTTTGATACCATGTCTCAATATTCAACAAAGTTATAGTAATGGGGTGAGCAATCGGGCGGGGCCCGAAAGGTTAGCCGGTTTCGGAGGTAAAAGTCTAAAAATAGCCCATTATCTTGATAAGTTGGATGGTTTTAGTCCCTCACCTTATAATATAACGATTTTAACCCCTAACCTATAAGAATGAGAGAAAACAACCCTTATTTGTAACTTCCGTCATAAGTCCCTGACCTCCGTCACTTTTTCCATTATGTTTCCGTTAACTTTGTTCTGCTTATATAATAAATAAAAAATGGGAAAGCTTCTCCAAGAAGCCTGATTCTTTTTTTTTGGGAATTCCAACTTTTTTTTTTTTTTTGAGAATTCAAGAAAATAGCCCTCATTTCTAACTTCCGTTACACATCCGTCACTTCCGTCACTTTTTCCATTAATTATGTCCGGCTTATACTTATAATAAATTA